CAATCAGTTTACAGTTATTTATATATTTTGTATTTTTTATATAATTTGTTTGAAGTTTTTTCAATAGTTAACAATAACATTGAATTTTGTATAAATGACATTAATATAATAGTTTCACTATTTTAATTTTATCATTATTATYATTATTACTATTATTAAATTAAGGAAAACTTTTTTAGATGAAAAATTATTTTAAATATTATTACTATAAGTAATAATACTTATGTTTATATATCAATATATAACTGATATAATTATTATTAAAAATATTAAATATTAAAAAACACTTTGTAAATATAAATATTTAATAATTATTTTAGTCAATTAGTTAATTATTACAAAGCAGACACTAATGTTGGTAAAAATTAAATAATTATTTGAAATAAAAATTTTCATTTATAGTGTAAAGTTAAATACACTACAGTAGTGGCAAAAACAGTACAGTTATCTATAGTATAACATAACATTCAATAGACTCGAGAATGTATTGGTAATAATACTGTACATTAAATAAGTTTTTAATTAACAATTACAGTATTAGTACTGTATATTGTAAATGTCTGACCTATAAAAAGTTATAGTTTTCACTATCTCGTAATGAATTTGTCATTTTATATTAGATATTATTTTAAATACATCAAAAAAATTTCATTGTTCAACATTCAAGGCATCATTTTTTCTAAGTTATGCACACTTTCTAAATAGTCATTAATGAATATTTACTACTTTTTTACAATTTTTACTATCATTACATTTGCTATCATTATAAACATTCCGGTCTCTTATCATTAATTTGTTTTTATTTAAAAAAAACTTTGTTTTTTAATAAAAACGTTTTTTTTATTAAAATAACAGTTCAAATATTATGATTTCCATGTATGTTTGTGTGTTTTTTTAAAAATTATGTTATTTTTATAATAAAATTAACTTTGTTTTTCTATATAAAAAACAATGAATCAAACTCTTATTTAAATTACAATTTTTATATCTCAATGACAGTAAATGTAAATTAAAATTACTGAAAATTACTGAAAATTACAGTTTAATTAAATTATTTTAATTCTAAAAATTAAATCTCTTTTTATCTTAAAATATAAAATTAAAAACTTGTTTATATAAATATAGTTCATTAATAATTTAGCTAAATAACATGTTTTATGTATTTATTTATAATTTAATGTTGTAATTATTAATAATATCAGAAAAATAAGGCATTGATTATATGCATTGAATTTTAAAGACAATGACAACAAAGTTTTGTTGGATCTCCTTATTGTTTGATTCATTAATTGCCTTAATATTGAATAGATTTTTTAAAAAGTTGATTAAATTTTATATTTTATTGTTGACTTTTTTTTTATTTGACACCATTTATTCTGTGATATACTGAATATATCATTAAATGACATCAAAATTAATATCTTAGTCATAACTTATTCAATGATAGGTTTTTCGACAATGAATTGATACATCCATTGACTAAATGATTGGATAAATTACAATAAGAGAAGAATAGTTTAAGATATGGTTAGAGGACAGGCCTACAATGGAAAAGCAGAAAAGGACATCAATTAAATAAACGAATTAATTTTAATGTCATTATAGTATTTTAATAATTTAAAAAAATAGTTATTATATATTATTATTATTTATAGAATAAGTTTAAAAAAATATAGACTATTGAATAATACAGATTATATTTCTTAAAGTATATTTTTAATTGCAAAAAGAAAAAAAGAAAATTTAATAATTTAATAAAATTATATTCATTTACAATAATATTGTTTTAACAGAATTTTATTTAGTTTTAATTTCATTTTTTTTATTTAAATAGTAATTATAATATATATATCAAATAACATTGTTTTTTGTTAAAAATATTTAAAAATTGTTTTTTTTGTTATAAAAATGAATTTTATTACGTAATTATTAATAAATCAAATTATTTATAATATTGGTATTGGTATCAAATTATATTTTTATTATTATTAAAGTATTTTAAATTCATAATATCATTGCTCCCATTAAATACGTATTTGTTTTATTTTTATAAGCATTATTTTTATAAAAATTAATAAATATATGAATTAAATAATTTATTAAAGTTTTATTTATTAACATAATATTATAAATGTTTTAGTTTCTAAATATTATGAATATTGCAGACAATTAAAAATAGTTAATAACTTTTATTATAATCTAAATAATATTAATAAAACCTCAATTTATATGACAAGACATTTTTAAACACTAATTTTTATCATTGAAGTTGTAGTTTGAGGTAAACCTTAAATAAAAATTATTTGTAATTTAAATAAAAGTAATATAATATTATTTTATTTAACAAAAGATATTTTATACACCTATAATTGATATTATATTTTATGAAACTTTAAGAATTATAATTGAAAATTTTACAATAATATAAAAATCCTAATATTAGTTTTATAAAAATAAGTTATACAATCTTGTTTATTTTTTTAAAAATAATTAGTTTTTAATAAGACTATAATCCAAAATTTAAATCATTGTAACCTTGATTGTATATTAAAAAGTTAATATAGTTTAATTGAATAACTATGATCAATGAGATCTAACCTAATTGATTAAAACATTTAATTTTGAATTATAATAAACAAAATAAAAATAATTTTAAATTAAGGAAATCAAATTCATAATAAGACCCATTTGACACCCATTTTTTGGACGTATTAATTATCGTCAACATTAAAATAATATTCAAATTATGTCGTAATTTTAATACAGTATTTTGACAATCAATTTCAATTGATTGTTGAATATATGACATTAAATAATTATTCAGTCAATAAATAAATATATGTTAAAACATTATATTTATTGATAATTGTTAATTACTATCCATTCGGGGCATTGATTATGTTCCGGTTTATAGCAGTATTATCATTAAAAATCAAGTTTTGGTCAAACATTTATTATTTAAAACAGGAATCCCCCAAAATTTGACACTAATTTTGACGTCACAACAAATTTTTGGTAATTTTTGACATTTATTTATTTACACTATAATTTGAAAATTATTTAAATAATGTCAATAACAAGTAAATAAGTTTTGCAAATATTTATTCTGTCTATATATATATATATATACTTAAAATATACAGTAGATTAAATATTTTGATAATAAATTTTACATTATATATATATACAATATAAAGAAAATTTATATATTTTTAAACAATTTTATTTAGTCATCTTATATAATCATTTATGTCAAAATATTTTTTTAGAAAATATTAAATAAATAATTAAAAAAAAATACTAATTAAAGTTAGTGTTTGCTAAATACTGTCATAATTAGGCAATAATTAGAAACTAAAAATGTTTTAAAATAAAATCGTATAAATTAAAAAATACAATGCCATCTATTTTACTCAAATGAAAAATAAAATATAATATTTTTTAATAAAATATAAATAAAATAAATAAAATATAACTTTTATTAATTTTAGTATTATGTTTTTTTTGATTAAATAAAAAATTTACACATAAATCAAACTTTAGTAAAAAAAATAAAATTGATAAAATTCTGTGCACTATAAGTGAAAAATTTTACCCAAACTGACCATTAAATGATATTTATAGACAATAAAAACATGTAATTCAGACATTAGTTTCAAGTATATAACACAGTATGAGTTGGCAACTAATGCGGGAGGTATTTGATTGTTAAGTGCGGTCATTGATGTTATAATGGATAATAATATACAGTAATAACTACAATGATTATCAAACTAATGTGTTAAATGTAATGAAATGTATAGATTGTATTTGATATTATTTTCAAATAATTATTGGCCATGAAAAATCATATCATTGAATTTTTAAATAGAAAATAAAAATATTAAAAGTCATCTATAAATAAAATTAATTAATAGATAGAAAGTAAAATTAAGCAAAAAAAAGTAAATAAATATTATTTTTAATAAATTTATTTATCTATACAATCTAATTATAATAATATGGTTTATGATTTTATCTAATATTTATCGGCTTTATATTGTTAGTCAGCTGTGCATAAAAATTTATTTATGAAGTTAAGTGGATATTTTATTTTACAATTATATTTATTTTCTACAAATAATAAAATATTCAATTGTTTAAAATTGTTTAATATATCATTTAATATAATTATCGTTCAAATTAAATGTTAATTATGTTTGCATTATGACTCAATTGTTTAATCATTATAGACATCAATATAAATATAATATAATTAATTTTAATGAATATAATTGCTATTTAATGCAAATGTAGAATATAATCAAATTAATGATTAATAAATATAAACAATTCACAAATTGTAAAATATTTATCTAATATTTAATATATATAACGTGTTTATACTACAATATAGTACTTGTATAATATATTTTTTTTGACAATAGATATGTTATAAAAGCATCAAATTAATAGTAATTAATTTTTAATAATCATAATTTAGTTTTGACATTATTTAAATCAATGAATACACATATCAAATAAACATAAAGTTACTAAATGAAAATAAAATATCAATAAATACTTTAAAAAACATTTATGTTATTATAGTGTAAAAATGTAAAAATATTTTCAATTGTTTTATATTTAAAATTTTAAAACAATAAGGATATTCAATATCTAGTCTATAAATGCATAAAAATGATTAAGCTTATTATATATTTTAACATACATGTATATTAATTGTAACTGTCATAATAAAAAGCACATTAATTTTGATGTCATTGAAAACAATTGCACCTTTTTTATTAGCTTTATCATTATTATTATAGTTTATCAATTTTTTTATTTTACTAATAAAATATCAACATTTTCTAGCAATTAATATTATGTGAACAATCATAGCTGACATACAATTATTGTTTTCACACTTATGTTATATTTGTTGTATTACATGAATCAGAGACAATAATTTAGTTGTTAATGATTTGAATTAATTGTTAAATTTGTAATCAATAAATATGATTATATCGGATGAATGGGATATATCGGTCACAGTGTTGTGTCTCATAATAGTTGTTGGTTTTGCACTAATATTTAGTTTAATATTTTGCTTATATCGTCGATGCTATCATCGGTCACCAACTGAGCCGATGGTTATACACCAAGAATTTAATGGCATCGACAATGAAAACTTCATGTTAGGACATCTTAATACAAATCAATCTATTAATCAGCACTCGTATGGCATCGGAGTCACAGAACCGACGGCCCCACCGGTTGAGGGCGTATTCATACCTCGAGCCACTCTCTGTAAAATAGCACAACCTTTCCAACCGCCACCAACTTATCAACAATCACTACAAGATAACCGCAATTATCCTAAAATATATCCTAAATTAGACACTTCGAGGACTAGATTTTAATATTCTTAAAAATTAAGTCATTTTTTATTTATTAATTTGTTTTGAAATAATGACATATTTATAATTAGTATAAATGTTTTATTTTTATAAAATCATATGAGTGTTGTTTATTCATTAAATCAAATCAGTGATTAATAGTAATTTAATTAAAACAATTTTACTATAATTTAAGTGTATTATTCTATAATAAAAATTATAATTATTGATTGCTTATTATAGAATATTTATTATAAATTTAATTATCAACTTTTATATGAATTTACTTAAATGTTTTTTATGTATAAATTTGTCATTTTTAAGACTTAATCATATCTATTAATGTAATATGTTATAAACAGTTTTAATGTACAAAATTTTACATTTATATTTTATTATATATTTATAATGACTTATTTTATTAAATTTTTTTACATTAGTCTTTAAATTATATTTTCATCACTTTCTGTGTTTCTTTAATTTATTTTTTTTAAACTTATACAAAAATCTATTTATTGTATTTATATAAAATTATCTGATCATATAATAGTTAGATCATAATGTAAGTTAAAATAAATGATACTTTTAGCAAAATAATTTTCTAAATATACATGAATTTTGGTACTTATTTTTACACCCACTGTGATATTCTGTAGTATAAAAACAATGGGAATCAAAGTATAATAACTTTTGATAAAAAACAAAATAAATTAAAGCAAACAATAATATCAATTGAGAATTGATTTATTGATTGCTATTGTTAGCTGACCTGCGCTTCAGCGGTGATGTCTAACATTTAAAGCCACAAAAATGTTTGACTTTTTAAGCCTTTGATTCAAAAGCATCTAAAAACTAAAATAAAATATTAAATGTAAATTTCAGACAACTTAATCTGAATATTTGCTTTTACTTTAGTTTCAATATTTAATTTATAGACTAAATGGCCAAACAATTGTTATTATCATTAGTTTTATTATATTTAGTTGAATATAATTTAATCAATGCATCCATTATTGATGATCCGCCACCAGATCAGGACATCATCGACAACAAGAACTTAGTGGACGATTTGGGACCGAAAGTAAAGARCAGTTGTGAGACATTGCCGTCTCGTATAAAAGTGACAAAAGAAGAACACGATCAGTTGGGAAATGTCATCCGTGTCTGCGAGGGATCAATCATTGTCAACAAGTGTGAGGGCACCTGTTTCTCACAATTAAAGCCCAGCATAACTACAGCTACCGGTTTCCTCAAGGTATTAAAGGTATTCATTATATGCATTCTTACTTTTTAACAAATTTGCTTGTTTAGCCAAAAATTTAATTACAAAATTAATTTAAATCTTTGTTTTAAAAATATTTAAATATTAAAGGAGTGTCTCTGTTGTCGTGAGTCTAATATGAAACCAAAAGAAGTTTATTTGACTGATTGTTTTGATTTGGACGGAAACAAGTTGTCCGATACTATGACGGTGTCAATGACGGAACCCGAAGATTGTAGTTGTCATAAATGTGGTCAATAAATGTCTAAATAAATCACTTTTTATAATAAAATAATTTGTTTGTTTATCAGTAATTTTGAACAATAATAATAACTATTAGTATAGTTTTCCATAATTTTATTAAAAGTAATATTGTATTATATATTACTATTTATTAATTTTAAATAATTAATTGTAACTAATTGTCAATTTCAATGATTCATTGTATTAATACCTATTTTTGTATCTATAATTATTTTATTTATAAATAAAATATGAAATTTCTTTAAAATCAATTTGATTAAGTTTTATGTTAAATAAATTTAAATACAAATAAAATATAAACTAATTTGTGAAATAGTTATAATGTTATACTAAATTGTAGATATCTAATGTAATATAATTTAATTTAAACGACAAAAGTTTAAACATTTAATATTAATAATTATTTTTTAGATTAAATTTTTTAGTTAAAATAATAAAACACTACAAAAAATTCAATGACATAAAAGTCAATTTTACTAATGAATCTTTATGTGAAAACTTTTAATAATAATGATATTTATATACTTGACTAACTGATAGCCAATTCATGTCAATAATTGGCATAACTATTAAATTAATTGCTATTTATTGTTTAGCCAATTATTTAATAGTAATTCACAGTATGATAGCCATTGAATCACCCACTGGTTAACTGAAAAACATACTTAACATATAATAAAATATTAATCTAACAATAATAATGGAAATCATTTGGCATCAAAAAAATTGTCACAAAATTGTATTGAAATCGCATTTTTCAAAATCAAGATCAACTGATTGTTTGTCTGACAAAAAGTAATAGTAAAACATTGTTTCACACAAACAGATTCATTTGATCTGATATTTCTGTTGATTTCATTTGAAAATCATTGACCATTCAAACAGAAAAGTTTGAATTATTATTTATATAAACAATGTGTTCAAAATTTGCGTTAATTTTGTTGGCGTTTTTAGTCTACCGATTATGTGAGGGTAGTAAAGAAGAGTGTCATTTAAGACCAGTAATACACGTCCTTAAACACGCCGGTTGTATCCCTAAGCCCATACCATCATTTGCCTGCTATGGCACCTGTTCATCATATGTACAGGTATTGTATTTTAATTTTCAAATGTCTTTTTTTTATTGTTTTAAAATCTGCAACAAATATTATATTCATAGGTATCCGGTTCCAAGTTCTGGCAGGTGGAGCGCTCATGTATGTGCTGTCAAGAAATGGGTGAACGAGAGGCAACTATTTCTATATTTTGTCCAAAACAAACACCAAAGTTTCGTAAAGTATGCAATTTTTATATTTATATTAATCAAAAACAGCTAATACTATGTTATTGCAAATTAAATTAAAATATTTTATATTCATTATTTTGTAATATTAAATTTATTCAAATAATTTTATCATTATTTTAGATTAATTCAGTTCTCTATAATTTTATTTAAACTAAAATAATATAATTTCAGTACAGAAATATATATTTGAATATTTGATTTTATTAAACWTGAATTTAAATACTTTAGATCCAAACCCGAGCACCTGTTGAATGTATGTGCCGTCCGTGCACTGGGATTGACGAGAAAGTGGTTCAACCGCAAGAAATCATGAATCTAACGCCAAAACTCGATAATTTTGATGACATATCTAGTGTTTAATATTTAATTAGTAAATATTTATATTTAAAATAATAATAATAATATCTTTATTAAATAAAAAACAAAAAATAGTATAACTTTATTTAATTTAACTTTTATTTTTAATTAATAAATAATGTATCTATCAATAGAATTACAAAAAACTGTAAAATTATAATTAAAAAAACAGTAAAATGTATACAGTATTGTGTTTGTAAAATGTTAATACTATTTAATTATAAGAAATAATATTCATCTATTAATTTCCCTAAAGTATTTATTAGATTCAATAAATATAAATTAAAATAGTTTAATACACTAATATTTACAGTAAAACAATTTATAAATGTGTACAGTATAATTTATTAATATTATTTTAAATTTATATAAATTTAAGTATAAGTTTGTAATTTTAAAATGTGTCTTTATTAGAATTAATAAATTTAAATAACTTAATATAAAACTTATAAAAAGATTTTTAAATGTGTATAATATAGTTGTTAATACAAATACACCAATTTACTAATTATTATTAAATTAATGTATTGTACAAAAAATTATTCAACATTTTGTGATGATTACATAATTATCAGTATGATCTTGGTTAATTGTTGTCAATTTATTTAGTATAATAATACCATTGGATAGTGAACTGCTGGTTAACTGTGAATCTGTATTTGAAAGAATAGTTGGTTTATCACTGATATAATTCCACAAAACTCTATATCTGTGGACTATTAGCGATATAAATGAAAATACAAAGAAAAATAATAATATAATATAAATGATTAGACCGGTTGGCCCGACAATCAATTTATAATCACTAAATGGTAAGATAATAGTTATCATACTTTTGTCGACCAAATATTCAACCAAAAAAAGTGTCGAAAAAAATACAAAATTAAATGTCAATATAACTGATGCATATTTGTTACGTTGTTTTGTCATTAATTTTTGGCGATATTTTTTCATGTCTTCAGTTGATTGACTATTATCTTGATTGGGATTTAGGACACTGTTATCAACGATGATTAGACTTTCCCACAGATCTGCTTCGGTAGTAGTCATGTGACACTCAGTAAAAACATGTTGAGTGCAACTGTTTTGTAAGTCAGACAAAGTGTCATTAGTAGATGTGTTGGCATCTGATCCGTTGACTTTCTCTCTTGTGCCCCACGAAACCACATTCATATTAATTAATGAATAGATGGGCAAAAGCATGAACATGAGTGGTCCGCACGCGTAATATATAAGCGCCGGTAGCAATGTTGCTGACATATGTAGGTCTCCGGGATGTAAAAGAACAGCCAAAGTATAGACAACACAAACAGAGACAAAGATAACAAAAGTGAGAGTCAATACATTATCACTGACTATAGACTGATACATTGTGATTATAAATACTGCAATCATAGTCAACCCATATATTATTCCTAAAGTTTTCATAACTAATATTTGGATATCATTTCTGGCAAAAATACATATCAAACAGTAGATTACAAATATAGATAAATTAATGGAAAATAAAATCCATTGAGAGAATGGAAAGGCTGTGTTAAAAAATTTGGTAATTATCAGTAAAATATATAAAGGAGTTATAATTGAAATTAAGAAAATGCATGAGTGATAGGCTATATAAATCCATGACACACTTCGGCTATATTTTGTCACTTCTTTGCTGATGAACATGAGTTGCAAATTGTTAATCATTGTCGATGCTATCCATCGGAGTCTTTGTTTTATATACTCATTCAATGTGATCGGACAGTATGTATAGGCAACTGCTTGTGAACAATAATCTATAATCCAACCTAATTCACATATATTTATAAATCAATGTTAATTAAAAAATATTTTATTAGTAATGAATATATATATATATGTATATATATATATATACCTTGCTTCATTAACAATGTTGTCAACCAACGATCCTCTCCTATTGAATAAATTAAATAAAATAAAAATCAATTGATAACAAAAAATCTATGTATACTCAAACCCTGTCCATATAATATTTGTGTAAATGCATCGTTTGATTGTGTGGAGTACTCGGACATGACATCAAAAATAGCCTGTGCCCGGTATAATGTAAAGCAACCGGGACTACACAATATACTGCCCCAAACATTTTCAACTGTCTTTTGAAACCAATAAGACATTGCATATTCAAACTTTTGGTACATTACTAACCAATTTAGTCTTTGATTACTAATTGGGATCAGTTTACCAGATATGGCACCGATATCTGTATTATTGATAGCGGTGTCTATAATATTAAAGATTGATTTTGGAGGATATGATGTGTCGCCATCCAGAGCTATCATTATTACATCCGATTCATTCAATTGATTAATCTTTACATAAGTCTTAACCAAATTCATATACATTACTTGACTCCAACGTTTGCCTATATTTGTAAAAATATAAATTAAAAATCGATTTAATTATCTATTGAATTGAGTTAATAAAAATTATGAATCAAAAAGAATTGATTAATTGTAAAAATACAGGAAAAATAATAGTTAATACTTTAAGTTAAGTAAAATAAAATCATTGATAAGCACCGGTCAATCAATTATAAATAGCTTTAATTTGCTTTGAAAACTAATTAAATACCTTTACGAACAAAATTACGGTTCTTTAAGTGAACGACCAGTTTGTAGTTGTGGTCTAAATGCATATGGATTTGTCTGCCATAAGGAGTGTCCATTTGAGTCAAACTGATACTCTTGTATCCCATCTCACGATTCACTTGTTTGCTAACATCTATTAAGTTCATAACATATGAATTTATAGTAAATATTTTGTTTCCATTTAAATCAAATGTCTCATCAAAAGCGTCGTCAATAAAAATATGTGTTTGAAATATAAGATTATAGAGTCCCAGTGCCCGGTGCTGACCATATAAGTTGAATAGTGAACTGATGAGGGATTGCATCTCATGATGTTCTTCGTGCCACATGGTTGGACACAAAAATACATGATATTTGCGTTCATATATATTTTGTTTAAGATCTATATAACCAAAATTAATTGATGGTATATGAAGGATRCCATCACATAATATTTTATTAAAGCATTCAGTTTTATCCAAAATTTTGGATATAACTTCTGTGTTGTAAACGGTTATAACAAACGATAAAAATATTATTGAAGACAATGTAATCAATATAATTAGTGATAAATCATTATTATAATGCTTATCGATATAATATAAGTTAATAAATGCTAAATAAGATATTTGAGAAATGCGATTACAATTGGTTCTGTATTTCAAATATAACACCAATAAAGCAATTAATGTAATAATTGGTCCAAATATTAATACAATAAAGTTAGTAAACATTTGCTTTGATGGCACTCTTGAGACCAATTGACGACTTAAGTGATTACTTATTAGACCACAAATTATATAAATGACTATAACATTGAAGGGAACAATAGATAATATTTGACTTTTTTGTAATAATTGTTCACTTGTTTTATTGAAACTGTTTTTATATAAATAATTTGATTCAAATAAATGACTAAAATTAAAATACCATTTCATATGACTGTTAAATGACATAATAGCAAATGTGAGGACTATTTTCCACAAAGAGATAATAATTTGACAAAATTGATGACCTCTTTTATGAAGATTATCTCTGGCTTTAGCTAACATTGATATAAACCTAAATTGTGAGCCATTGTGAACATGATATGGCCATGAATTTAATGATATTAAATATACTGCAATCGGTATTAACCATAAATATAATTTTTGATTATTATTCACATATACAACATAAGTCCAAATTATAATTATAATTAGTTGTATAAATAAAGATACAATAGTTGTATATTTGAGTCGTCTTATTGTTGATTTTGTGCTTTTATTGACAAGTTGTCCACTAAAACAATTCATTGCATTAATAAGTGCTGGAAATAAATAGAAAGACCATTGAATTAATCCGATTTCAATTGCATTGATTGATGTATAGACAACTAAAACTAGTAATGTTGAGCCAATTGAGACCAATGTATCCATAATTAAAACCTTTGAAAATTAGTATTTTAATTTTAAATTAAAATATTTTATGTAAATAATAATTACCAGAAAAAAATCAGTAAACAATTCAGGAAACCTGTATTTTCTGAATCTCCATAATAGCAGTCTTTTTATTATAGTTATCACATCCGATGATATGAGTATCAAAAATAGAGAAAATAACCAAACATTGCTTTCAATACTTAATTCATAAGCGATATTATTACTTGATTTACATTTTGCTATAGGATTTGATATATTATTTGATAAATATGTTGTAATTAATAATGTTATTTGAGAAACTATTGTTGCGAAACATAGTATAAATGATATAATAATTAGTATAATCATTTTAAAGAAATGTTTAGTGAATGTGGTATTCATTATAAATAATTAATTTAAAAAGGTATTTAAATAACACTAAATTTGAAATCTAATAAAAATTTTATAAATTATTATTTTTTACAGTAATAGAAATTAGTTGCTATTAAAAAATAATATGTATTTTACAAAAAAATTATTTAAGTACAGGTATAAATTAATTATTGTTTTTAATTAATAATTTTCATTTATACAAAATTACGTGATTTTCAGACTTTAAATAAAATAATATTGAATTGCATGATGAATGTTACTATAGTTGATTTCATAATAAACTGTATTAATACAAAAATTATTAAGACTATTTCAATTTTATTTGATCTATTTTTATAAGATTAAAAAAATTTATATACATAGTTTTAATTTAGTTAACGCATAACTATTTGTATTTAGATATTATTTATCAACTAAGTAATTATTGTATATGCATATTTGTTAGATACTTTAACTAATTATCATTTCAATTTTTAAAATTTTATTTAAAAAATACAAATAATTAATTAAATTTTAGTCTTTTTTATTTGTATATTACAATTTTTCAGAACTTACACTTGGCTATCAAATTTATGTCCTAGTTAGCTTAAATATTAATGAATAATAATAATAACATAATATTTTATAATTATAATTAAATACTGCAAAATGTATACACTTATACAACTTATATATTAATATTTAAAAATTTCCTAAATAACATTATATATTGTAAAATATTAAAATAAATATTTTCAATTAATAATATGTTACATAATATCTTAAAGTATTAATATTTAAAAATTTCCACAAATAACAGGATATATCATAGAATTTTAAAACTTTCCACTTATAATATGATATATCAGACGATTGTCAGTAATTAAGAATTAAATAAATAGTTTATTAGTATAAATGTATTATTAAATAAAATAAAAAATATTTATTATTAATTAATAATTAATTTTGTCGCCATTGACAGCATTACATTTATACTATGCTTTGCGACATACAGTCAATGTTATGAATCATACGATTCCGGATCAGATTCTGAGAATAATATGAATATTTAAATATAACAAATACTACTTAAATATTTTAATATAGAATATATTATATAAAAATCATTTTTTAAATAAATTAACTATAAAAATATTAATATAAATTGTAATAAATTTAATTTCAAATCTCATATCTATAATAATAAAAAAAACTTTATTCACTTATTTTCCATTTGTTTAACTAAAATCTAACAAATGTTATATAATACCTATTATTAAAGTAATAGATGCTTATTATAATTATATTAATAATATTTATAAATAATAATTAAATAGATTTGTAATTTGAAAATAAAATATAATCTATATTATTTCGTAAAAATAAAATATTTAAAAATAATTTTATTTTATTTTTAAATTAACTTATTCAATAAATTTATATAAAACACTGTAAAGTTTGTAAAATATTATACTATTGTGTAGAAAATTGTGTCTTTTTTGCAATTAATAAATATAAATTAATTTAATACATATAACTACTGTATATCAACACAACAATTTATTTATGGTAATTATAACATAATTTTTTTAAATTATAAAATTATACAAACTAAAATTATTATTAGTTAAAATTTTGTAATAAACTCATAATTATCTTCATGATCTTGGTTAATTGTTGTCAATTTATTTAATTTGATATTACCATTGGATAGTGAACTGTTGGCTAATTTTGAATCTGTATTTGAAAGAATAGTTGGTTTATCACTGATATAATTCCACAAAACTCTATATCTGTGGACTATTAGCGATATAAATGAAAATACAAAGAAAAATAATAATATAATATAAATGATTAGACCGGTTGGCTCTACAATCAATTCATAGTCAATGAATGGTATGTCAATAATGAACATACTTTTGTCAACCAAATACTCAACCAAAACAAGTGTTAAAATAAATATAAAATTGAATATCAATAAAACTGATGCATATTTGTTACGTTGTTTTGTCATTAATTTTTGGCGATATTTTTTCATGTCTTTAGTTGATTGACTATTATCTTGATTGGGATTTAGGACACTGTTATCAACAATGACTAGACTTTCCCACAGATCTGCTTCGGTAGTAGTCATGTGACACTCAGTAAAAACATATTTAGAGCAAATGTTTTGTAAGTCAGACAAAGTATCATTAGTAGATGTGTTGGCATCTGATCCGTTGACTTTCTCTCTTGTGCCCCACGAAACCACATTCATATTAATTAATGAATAGATGGGCAAAAGCATATGCATCAGTGGTCCGCACACGTAATATATAAGCGCCGGAAGCACTGTTGCTGACATATGTAGGTCTCCGGGATGTAAAAGAACAGCCAAAGTAAAGACAACACAAACAGAGACAAAGATAACAAAAGTGAGAGTCAATACATTATCACTGACTATAAACTGATAAATTGTGATTATAAATACTGCAATCATAGTCAACCCATATATTATTCCTAAAGTTTTCATAACTAATATTTGGATATCATTTCTGGCAAAAATACATATCAAACAGTAAATTACAAAAATAGTTAAATTAATGGAAAATAAAATCCATTGAGAGAATGGAAAGGCTGTGTTATAAACTCCGGTTAACATAAGTATAACACTGGAAGGGGTTATAATTGAAACAAAGAAAACAAATGAGTGGTAGACTATGAAAATCCAGGAAACACTTCGGCTATATTTTGTCACTTCTTTACTGATGAGTATTAGATGCAAATTGTTAATCATTGTCGATGCTATCCATCGGAGTCTTTGTTTTATATACTCATCCATTGTTGTGGGACTGTGTGTGTATGCCATTGCTTGTGGACAGTACTCGATTATCCAACCTTTCCATATAAATTGATTATATTAAATATTAAATATTAAATTACATTCATTATTAACAAAAATAGGATTGTATGCATTTATATCTAATATATGTAATAATAAGCAAATTAAATATTATTTTACTGAAATAACAATTACTATAATTATTAATTATTATGTTAGCATAAGATATATTGTTAATTAATTATTTGATTTTTAAAATTATTTTATTCATATTCTATGTCTAAAATTTCTTTCGATAGTTGATTACACATATGTTGGACACATTAATTATGATTTTAGTCATTTAATGGTTACAATCTAACAAATTGGTAAAAAAATTGACAAACAATTAATTATTTATTTTACATTTTTTACAATCCCTACTATATAACTAGTATATTATACAAATTATCATTTAACAATCTAAAGGATAGTTTCATTTTTGATTCAGAAATAAAATTTTCTGAAAATTTTATGCTCCGTCAGTTGCTGATTATGATCATGGTCAATTTATTGTTAAATAACCCATGTTAAAACTAGCCAATTTACATAGGAGCTTCAAAACATGATATACTACCCTGTTTATGTACTGTAATTTATTTATTTTGCAAAAAAATACTAGGATCTTTTATCTTATAGTTATCTATTTATAGTTACAATTCAGATATTATTTCACACAATTCTATATTATATAATAGGATAGATTTTTTATTATTTATAGTTATAAGTAATAGCACCTTGCTTCATTAGCAATGTTGTCAACCAACGATCCTCTCCTATTGAATAAATTAAATAAAATAAAAATCAATTGATGACAAAAAAATCTATTTATACTCAAACCCTGTCCATATAGTATTTGTGTAAATGCATCGTATGATTGCGTGGAGTACTCGGACATGACATCAAAAATAGCCTGTGCCCGGTATAATGTAAAGCAACCGGGACTACACAATATACTGCCCCAAACATTTTCAACTGTCTTTTGAAGCCAATAAGACACTCCGTACTCAAACTTTTGGTACATTACTATCCAATTTAGTCTTTGATTACTAATTGGGATCAGTTTACCAGATATGGCACCGATATCTGTATTATTGATAGCGGTGTCTATAATATTAAAGATTGATTTTGGAGGATATGATGTGTCGCCATCCAGAGCTATCATTATTACATCCGATTCATTCAATTGATTAATCTTTACATAAGTCTTAACCAAATTCATATACATTACTTGACTCCAACGTTTGCCTATATTTGTAAAAATATAATTAAAAAATAACATACTTTATATTAAAATTTAGGTATCTCTAAGGTCGTTAAAAAAATCTTTTTTTAAATAAATATATTTCCAAAATAATTATTTTTAAAAATTATATCTTTCATTGGTAAAAATTAACAAAAAATTTAGTTTAACTGTAATAACTACATAATAATTACTGATAATTTCCGGACTGACCGATATATTAAAAATTAATGAAATAAACATTATTAATGTTTGTTAACTTTAAATAATTATTGAAAATTTTCTTATTAAAATGATTTTAACTGTCATAACATTTAACATATAAAATTTAAAGTTTAATTAACTTTTGACAGTAATTTAATAAATGAGTGCTTTCTTGTTGTGATGTCTTAGCATTTATCACACAAAATGTAATCAATTTCAGCACTGATTGCTGTCAATACTCTGTATTATATTATTATAGTTGTAATGATTTTAAAAAAATTAATTGAAATTTTTRATTGAAATAAGTCTCAAATAAGAAAAGCAATAAAATGGTTGTAATAATACATATTAAAATTAATTAAGATTATTGAAAAGCATCGGTCAATCACTTATGATTAGCGTTAATATACTTTGAAAACTAATTAAATACCTTTACGAACAAAATTACGGTTCTTTAAGTGAACGACCAGTTTGTAGTTGTGGTCTAAATGCATATGGATTTGTCTGCCATAAGGAGTGTCCATTTGAGTCAAACTGATACTCTTGTATCCCATCTCACGATTCACTTGTTTGCTAACATTTATTAAGTTCATAACATATGAATTTATAGTAAATATTTTGTTTCCATTTAAATCAAATGTCTCATCAAAAGCGTCGTCAATAAAAATATGTGTTTGAAATATAAGATTATAGAGTCCCAGTGCCCGGTGCTGACCATATAAGTTGAATAGTGAACTTATGAGGGATTGCATCTCATGATGTTCTTCGTGCCACATGGTTGGACACAAAAATACATGATATTTACGTTTATATATATTTTGTTTAGAATCTATATAACCAAAATTAATTGATGGTAAATAATAAATATTATCACTTAGTTTATTATAGTATAAACTTATATCCAAATGTCTGGATATAACTTCTGTATTGTAAACCGTTATAACAAACGATAAAAATATTATTGAAGACAATGAAATCAATATAATTAGTGATAAATTATTATTATAATGCTTATCGATATCATATAAGTTAATAAATGCTAAATAAGATATTTGAGAAATGCGATTACAATTGGTTCTGTATTTCAAATATAACACCAATAAAGCAATTAATGTAATAATTGGTCCAAATATTAATACAATAAAGTTAGTAAACATTTGTTTTGATGGCACTTTTGAGACCAATTGACGACTTAAGTGATTACTTATTAAACCACAAATTATATAAATGACTATAACATTGAAGGGAACAATAGATAACATTTGACTTTTTTGCAATAATTGTTCACTTGTTTTATTGAAACTATTTTTATATAAATAATTTRATTCAAATAAATGACTAAAATTAAAATACCATTTCATATGACTGTTAAATGACATATAAAATGACATAATGGCAAATGTGAGGACTATTTTCCACAAAGAGATAATAATTTGACAAAATTGATGACCTCTTTCATGAAGATTATCTCTGGCTTTAGCTAACATTGATATAAACCTAAATTGTGAGCCATTGTGAACATGATATGGCCATGAATTTAATGATATTAAATATACTGCAATCGGTATTAACCATAAATATAATTTTTGATTATTATTCACATATACAACATAAGTCCAAATTATAATTATAATTAGTTGTATAAATAAAGATACAATAGTTGTATATTTGAGTCGTCTTATTGTTGATTTTGTGCTATTATTGACAAGTTGTTCACTAAAACAATTCATTGCATTAATAAGTGCTGGAAATAAATAGAAAGACCATTGAATTAATCCGATTTCAATTGCATTGATTGATGTATAGACAACTAAAACTAGTAATGTTGAGCCAATTGAGACCAATGTATCCATAATTAAAACCTTTGAAAATTAGTATTTTAATTTTAAATTGAATTTATTGCGATTATACTAATTACCAGAAAAAAATCAGTAAACAATTCAGGAAAGCTGTATTTTTTAAATCTCCATAATAGCAATTTATTTATTATAGTTATCACATCCGATGATATAAGTATCAAAAATAGAGAAAATAGCCAAACATTGCTTTCAATACTTAATTCATAAGCGATATTATTACTTGATTTACATTTTGCTATAGGATTTGATATATTATTTGATAAATATGTTATAATAAATAATGTTATTTGAGAAACTATTGTAGCGAAACATAGAGTAAATAATGTAATAATTAATATAATTATTTTGAATAAACGTTTAGTGAATTTGGTATTCATTATAAATTATTGTTTATATTATTGAAATCACTAATATTGGCAATTATTTCATAATTTATTTCTAACTAATTCATCTAAACTTATATAAACTAAATTTCACTTCATAAATAAACAATTATAATAATTTAAGTACAGTATACTACTGTATACATTTAAATAAAAAATTTTATGAGAAAGTTTAAATAATATTTTCAAACATTACTACTTATGATAATGATTTCCCTGTAATTAGGCTTTTATATCAATTAGTAACTCAGTTATTTCATAGTAATCCCGACAACTTATAATTTATTTAAGATTTTACCTTTAAGTAGTAGTAAATAAATCCATAACTACAGCAAAATTTTTTATAATTTTTATATAAACTGTGCAATAATTACTTATTGGACTATAATAACATTTTAATCTTAAATATGTGAAATGTTTTAGTCATTGTAATTGATTTATGAAACCGTGAAATATTACAAGAAAAAATTTGATATACATTTTTATGAACTGATTGTTAATATATATATATATATATATATATATATCTAATTGAGCAGATAATCAAGGTGAACTAAATCATATAATTGGAAATCATTATGTGTATCACTTTATTGTACTGTATAATATTTAAATACTATTATTATACTATGATAATATTAATACTGTAAATTATATTTACTGTACATTTGTATATGATATTATATSATGATATTATACTATATATGATATGACATTTGTATATATATATATATATATATCAGTATATAAAACCCAAATATGAAAGCTTAACAATTATACAAAATAATTATTAGACTATAACTATTACATATTACATGAMGCTATGCACTAAAAAAAACTAAAGCATAAATTAAGTGATAGTACTCTATTGTAAACTTGAAACATGAATTATAATATTGAATATAAAATTTTACATACATTTATGTAAGTCATTATATTATACAGTATATCATATTATAAGATTCATATAACCAAAAAAAAAACAAAATATATTTAATTAAGTATTTTTAAAATTGAAAATAGGATTTAAACTTTAGTTTATTATAAGTTTCAATAAATTAGTGCAACACTTGAGATGATAAGGATATAAATTTAAATAATATTTCTTTAATTATTTTTTTCTTTAAAATTAATTATTTATATTTATATTATTGTAATAACGATACTATATGTAAAAATGAATATATTATGTGAGTATTAGTTGAGTATTAATAAAGGATTTATTAAATATTGAAAATAATTAAATTGAAAAATATATTTACAAACTATTAAAAAACATATTTGGAGAACAAAATTACTATTTGGTTCAATCAATGTATTATTATTTAGTCAATTATTGCATTCATGTAGATATATACATATTATACATACAACTAGCAATTTATATACTATATGACCCATTTAAAGTTTTCTTAGTTTTATTAATGATTTTAAAAATATAAACCTCTAATAGGATGTAAAATGTTTGAAGAGAAAGTGAGAGATAATTATGTCATACCGTGTGTATAGATATCAATAATATCTAACAAATAATATTTAAAAAATTATTAATCGATTTTTATTAAATAAAAATATATCGTGATGGATAATTTATTATATAACAAATATTAAAATTTGATATATATATATATATATATTAAAAATTGATATTGTTTGCTCTAAAAAACATTATTTATTATCAACAATAACAATAATTTAAAATCTTTACTTGATTTTTATAATTAGCCTACATTTAAATAACTTATAGATTTCTATTCAAGGCTTAGATACACTTATTAATATTTATAACAATATTATTAATAGATGGTTTATTATAAATTACACTATTATTGGTGTATATACTATAACATATTGAATAAATAACTTTTTTACACTAACGAAATAATAATTAACTATTAGGGTAATGTAAATAGATATCAATTTTAATAATTAAATAAACAATAATAATTGATAATGTTTTTTATATAGTAGTTGTAAATTGTAATATAACATTTGTAATATATTTCTAAACATTAATTTTAAATAAAACTAAATTATTATTAAAATAAATTGAGATACTTTATGAAACAAAAATTGGGGTCATGTATTAAATTTTGTCACTTATTTAAAATTGATTTTTATTATTTAAGTTAAAAAGATAACATAATTTTATCCAATATATCTCACAAGTAATTGATATTTTTAAATACATAAATCATATGTCTATTTTTCATTTAATGAAAACTAGCTTACTGTATGCAATTGTTGTTTATAATTTTATGATTTATAATTATAAATATATTATATCACAAAATAATAAAATCAATAATTAGTTTAATTATGTTATTAAATTAAAACAATTATTAGTACAATTATTATTGATGTATCAAATTAAATTTGTCTATAATAATAAGCAATTTTAAATAAATTATTAAATACAATAATTATATATAGTCATAAATTAAGTAAATATTTGTCTAATTTTTAAAAATTAAATACATTATAGTAAACAACAAAATCAACCAAATAATTGGATAATTAGTAATTATGTGATGGTTTACGTGAAATCACATAAAATATGTTATACAATAAAAATGTATAAAACATTTTCCTCATATTTTTGAACTTCTGGAGCATTGAATTTGTGTTTTGAAAATTGATTTTTTGTCTCATATTTTCCAAATGGTTTAATCACTCGAATAAGTCAAGGCTTTTCATAATATCTGGTCTTATAATTTGCTGACATTTATACTGTATTTAAAAGTATCAATCGATACACTAATATATTGTGAAAAAAAGGATTATCAATAAATTCATAGTATTTATACTGTTATCAAACTGTTTTGTTGACAACTATGATCTCAATTTTATTTAATATTTATGTTTGTTGATATTTATTTCTTTTATAATGATAACTATAATATTGAATTATACTATTTATTTAATGTCAAATATGACAAAACTTCGAAGCTTTAAATCTTAAATAAATAAATAAAACAATTATTTAATAATATTAATACAAATATTTGTTATTAATAATTCTATTAAATTCATTAAATAATATTTTAAATAATTGTCGATAAACAAAGTCAAACTCAATAATTATAAAAAAATAAATCTGTGACAAAAGTGTGGGCACATGTTTTCTTGAATCAATTTTTTAACATTTGAAATATTAATAAATTTATTTTAAAATATGGAATTTATGTATAGAATAAAATTGTAATAAAACTTGTATTAATCATTATATTTAGATTAATATTAAATTTTTAGACTCAGATAGATAAAAATTATATTTATATAAATTTTGGAAATCTTAAATATAGTAAATTATAAATGATTAAATAAACAATATTTTTAAATATGCAGTAGATTACTAGTAATAAAGATAAAAAATAAATTGCAACAAGTGTTTAGATTTAAATTATTAATATTATAATTAATATTTTATATAAATTTAAATTATATCATTAATTAAAACTACTGTTTAAAAATCTGTGGTCATTATTGATGTCAAGTTGATTAGACAAAATCAATAATAATAATAATATTTAT